GGTTGACACTAAATACAACTACTTACTTTATTGTAGGCATCCCATCAATCAATCCAAAAATGATCTTCGAATCTTCTTGAGGCAACGTCGAGTTCATGACCCTATGAGGACACTAAGAAGACCTCGGATCACGCCTCGCATCGTCCTTGAGGGAGTGCCTCTGGCCGAGGCTATGAAAAGGTGTTTGTTTCTGGATAAAGGGCCTCGGCCTACTTCCATCGTGGGATTTCTGACCCATTTGGTCGTCCCCTTTGCTCCTTTCTGACCTCCTTACTCATGGCATGCCACGTGGCCAATTTTCTGTAACCTCGAAACGGGGGGATAATAGTAGAAGTCATATCTCAATCTCAAAACCGGCAAGAAGTCCCAAGCCTCTGTCTCTGCATTGGCCAAGGGTCGCAGTCTTTTGCTTGACAAATGACGAGTATAGCAGCTCTTGGAACTTCTCCAGAAACAGAGTCCATTATTGCTCATTCATGTCTGATAGCTTCACAAAGCAATCACTAGAAGGAAGCTGCTCATTTGCACTCATGTGGCCAGATAATGAACTAGCAAGATAGTCAAATTCAGGCTTTGGTTTCGAAAATTTCAGGAACTTGAGATTCTTCTCACCTAAACTAGTATTCTTGAGTGACATGGATAGCTTTGAAATATTGGGTTTCCTTTCTAATTTTCATCTGAACAGCGAACTCGCGATCAGCCGACTAGAGTGTCTTTGCTTTGAAATTGGTGGTTGTTGGTTGCTTGTTGGAGGAAATTGTTTACATAGATAGCTTTAACTTGATAAGGGGAGTCGACCGGTGGTGGATTTCGACAGGTTGGGTGGTTGGAAGGCGAGTTGTGGGTGGATTCTAGCCATAGTAGCCATGGGTTTTGTTCTTTTTAATATTTTTATATGTTTTGGACTGATTTGCATTTATAGAAAGTTTAGGAGTAAGATTACAATTTATTCTTGATTTTTCTTTTCTTTTCTTTTTTGTTTTATTTATATAGGAGGGTATATTTGTCATTTTATGTTAAAAATTGGTCAAAATGACGTTTTGCGCCAAAAATGTGAAAGGTAAGAATGTTCTATGCCAAAAAACGAAAGGTAAATACATTTTGCGTCAATTACCCTATATATTAAATTACTTATTTGGAGAAATGATATTGGTCCCCGAGGGGACTATCGAATTGTGTCCCCCACTCTCACATGATTTGCGGTCCTCGCGTGCATTAAAAAATGACGAGCCGTTCTACTTATTTGTCCTCCATCCAATAATAATCATCACAATTGTAATAGTTTGTTATAAGTGAAATACATTCAAATTTTTTAAAATTTCTCGGTGAAATCTTTATAAGAGTGTGTTTGGTAGAGATTTTTGGGGGAAGAATTGATTTTTGAATAGTGATATGATGGGAAATGTGTGGTTAAAAAAGAAGAAAAAAGTATTGATGTGGTGGAACCTATTATTTTATTGAAGAATGTATGGTTAAAAATGAGAATTGATTTACTGTAGAAAATGAAAATCTGTACCAAACAGGCCCTAAATTTATAAATTATGAATGGCATAAATATTAAAAAAAATTCATCGAAATTCATTAAAATTTCATGACACCCTAATTTAAATACATTAAAATTTCAATTGAAAATACTAAATTAAGAAATACTTTCAAAATTCATCAAAATCTCAATTGAGAACACAAAAATAACAAAATTTGAGACCATTGACGCGATTGCACGCTTTATATTCTTTCAAATTGCTTGTTGGTAAATAACTAAAAAATAATTAAACCTTTACAGTATTCCAAAAGTATCTATTCTATTGGGCTGGTAATTCGGGTTTCCATTCAAAGTCATTCAACCCGGAACCCATATCCGAATAGTCAAATAATTCGTCTAGGGCCACATACTCGCCGTTACTACTGTCATTATAGGTCTCCGTTCCGTCGATTCCGAACTCGTACGAGTCATAACTCGGAAACTCCCACAACTCGCCACCTAGTTCGGACGAGTCAGAGTTCACTCGGTCCCACTCGGTCTTCTCTTCGCTCAAAACGCCCGCCGGAGATGCAGTGGACGGAGGAAGCCCAAGCTCGTCATCCGAAGCCTCCAACAAATACCCCAGATCCGGCTGAGACTCTTCAGGACCTGACTTCAAATCCACTGTCGGTGAAGGCGAACCCATAATTTCCTCCTCGAAACTCTTCATGAAAGAGTCAAGATCCTGATTCGTTGTGCAGAACTCCGAATCATCATCGCCTAAATTTTCCAATAACTCCTCCCGCAGCCTCTTAACCTCCGGCAAATCAGTCACCGAGTCCGACTCCTCCGACTCATCTCGTTCTCTCTTCTTAATCTTCACTTCTTCCATCTAAATATGATACAAAATTCGAAATATATTCCACACACCAAACAGAGTGAGGTAAAACTATACAATAATTGCTTCAAATGAAATATCACAGCTGATTGGGGATGGAAATGAAAAGTGGAGGATTATATAGTGGGGAAATGAAGATTTTTTCTTATATGGGGCCCATTGTTTCCATTGACGTGTCTGCTCATCTGCTCTATGCGTGTGGTGTGTGTTTTAGGTGGTGTATTTTTCTAGAATTTTCGGAATCTTGTGGATTTGAAATTAGGTGTGGGGGCCACCGGACATAGTCAATCACGGCCGATTTTTCTCGAGTTTCTTTTGTTGGAAGAATATAAATTTTATATGGGCCGTCGGCACCGCCGAAAGGAAGTCCACAATTATTTCTGATCTTTTAATTTATTTTTTGTAAAATAATTGTACGATGAAGATATTTTTGTACGTTAAAAAATTCTGATGGATGTCGAATATTTAGATTATATTAAATCATTATTTTTCACAAAATATAAAATATACTAAAATGTGTATATGCATTGTGAAAAAAGGGATGAAATTGAGATTGAATATTTTTAGAAAAAATGAATTGGAAAATTAGAAGTTTTCAAGTAGAAAGTTTAACTAATTATTATTTTATATTTTAAATGGACATTAAAGGATTGTAAATAAAATCTTCATATTATGGCCCCGTTCGGGAGGGATTAAAAGTCAATTAAAATTGAAAATATGGTCGTTATTGGGTCCCACTCGTCTAATAAAAGTCAACAATGACAGCTATATTTTCAATTTTAATCCGATTTTAATCCCTCCTATACAAGGCCTATGTGTTTAAAAAGATTATTAATTTTGAGTCGGGAAGGAAAAGTTTTATGATTTAAATGAGATTACTAATTTATCAAGATTTCACCGTAGTTTAATCCATAAATTAAGATAAAATGTTTGCGTCTTAACTAGCTTAGTTACGAAGCCCTCATAGTATGGCATGCGTGTTATGTTGCCTCGGTAAAAATCGTTGGCACATTAATGGACCAATTTGCTTCTTATCTCAATCGTCTCAATTTAACATTAATTTTAAATATACGTTTATAACTACTATCCACGCATTTTGGATGATCCCCTCCTTTTTTCATTATAATCTCATTATGAGTCTGTTTGGGCCGAATTAAATCTGATTTTAATCTAAGTCAAAGTCAAACAATCAATATTAATCACATTTTCAAGGGTCTCACATTTTTTTTCAACCACACATTTTAAAAAACTTCTATCACAATCCATTAAAAATCTAATTTTAATCTCCACCAAACACCCCCATATTTTTTTTCGAAACAAACACTTAAATTATAAGTTGTTGAAATTACAAGGTGATAGAAATATGTGGTGGATAAGTAAGTAGCAGTTATGAATTATACGAATATGTGATTAATATTAAAATTTGATTTTGACCTTTAAATTCTAATATAATTATACGTAAATCCAAACAAACACTAAAATTTGTCAGAGACTAATGTGAAACAAGTTTTAAATGGTGTAACAATAAATTGAATACAATATATTTTTAAATCCTAACATGTCAATATTTCAACCAAACCAGCATACATTTTTCTATTTTTAGATTAGATTGTATTAGTCGGCATTCCATGGAATTCTTCTACGTTCTAATAATGTGTGTTTTTGGACAAATGGTAGGCGCAGTAATTTGGACTTTTTTTTTTTATAAAAAAATAAATGAAGACAAATAGTATTTGGATGCCGTGCCGCAGGCATGTACCATTTCAATTTAGTAGTTTCGTCTATGGAAATGTTCAAGATTTTTGGTCACTTAATGGACCGTCAAAGCCGATCTCTCATTAATATTCTTATATATTATCAATTCTCCTATCAATCACCATTCCAAAAATTTTCAACTATCAAAATGCCAAATAATGGGGGCCAAACATATGTGTTTAAAGAGATTATTAATTTTGAGTTGGGACGGAAAAGTTTTATAATTTAAATGAGATTACTAATTTATGAAGATTTCACCGTAATTTAATCCATAAATTAAGATAAAATGTTTGCGTCTTAACTAGCTTTGTTACGAAGCCCTCATAGTATGGCATGCTTGTTATGTTGCCTCGGTAAAAATCGTTGGCACATTAATGGACCAATTTGCTTCTTAATCTCAATCGTCACAATTTAACATTAATTTTAAACATATATTTATAACTACTATCCACGCATTTTGTATGATCCCCTCCTTTTTTTCATTATAATCTCATTATGAGTCTGTTTGGGCCGAATTAAATCTGATTTTAATCTAAGTCAAAGTCAAACAATCAATATTAATCACATTTTCAAGGGTCTCACATTTTTTTCAACCACACATTTTAAAAAACTTCTATCATAATCCATTAAAAATCTAATTTTAATCTTCACCAAACACCCCCATATTTTTTTTCGAAACAAACACTTAAATTATAAGTTGTTGAAGTTACAAGGTGATAGAAATATGTGGTGGATAAGTAAGTAGCAGTTATGAATTATACGAATATGTGATTAATATTAAAATTTGATTTTGAGCTTTAAATTCTAATATAATTATACGTAAATCCAAACAAACACTAAAATTTTGTCAGAGATTGTAAAGCTATAATGAAAGTTTAGGACTAATGTGAAACAAGTTTTGTAACAATAAATTGAATACAATATATTTTTAAATCCTAACATCTTAATATTTCAACCAAACCAGCATACATTTTTCTATTTTTAGATTGTATTAGTCGGCATTCCATGGAATTCTTCTACGTTCTAATAATGTGTGTTTTTGGACAAATGGTAGGCGCAGTAATTTGGACTTTTTTATTATATAAAAAAATGAATCGTAGTTGGATGCCGTGCCGCAGGCATGTACCATTTCAATTTAGTAGTTTCGTCTATGGAAATGTTCAAGATTTTTGGTCACTTAATGGACCGTCAAAGCCGATCTCTCATTAATATTCTTATATATTATCAACAAAAATATTCGGAAGAATATTCTAATCTTATATAGAATTAAAGGTTCAATTCAACCATCTAGAAATAAATTTCCAAAAGAGAAATATTCACGATTATATCGTCGTTGCCGATTTGTCACATCTGTTTCTAAACGACAAATAGAGATACTGGTACTCGGTTGCAAAAACTTAAGAAAACAAATTTTCTTGAAAGGATAAACTTTTGGCAAAAAAAAAAAAATCACTTAAGATGACAATTATATCCCAGTTTTATGTCAAAAAACGATTTTGGTACTCCAAGTGATTTAGGGGTTCATTTGTCATTGGAGCTCAAAATCCTTCCTTGCTCCTTCCTATCAACTCAGTAATGTGACCAATGTTCTTTTTTCTACATGTTTATTATTTTTCATTTTTTTAATGTTAAACATATCCTCCAATATAAGATAAACAAATGAGCTTAAATTAAATGGGTTCTCGTGTTTTATTGCCAAATACAAATTGATATAGGGTCTAAGAGAATTTTTACTTTTCATAGAACAACTTCCTGAGAAAGTTAATTTAGATCAACTTTCTCTAAAAAAAAATTAATTAGATAAAACACTTTCAAAAAATTATCTAAACATATTTAAAAACAACTTTTAATTTTTCATTGGTCGAGCCAAATGAGCTCTCATATCATAAGATAGTGATTTAAACATCTAAAACCTACATAATTTATAATCGACTCACTAATGTAATACCACCAACTTGTTGAATGGGTACCTAATAAAACTAATTAACTCCACTAATGTTCCCAATTGAAAATGTTTGTATATCTTGAAACCGGATTAATAGCAGAAAACTCCAGTAGAAACGTTTTCTTTTGCGATAGGCCTCCTACATATTAGAAATCGCAAAAAAATCCCCCCGTTTGAAACATTTTGTACGAAATACAACATTTTTTGTTCAAAAAAATTCTACCATCCAATTCCGTTAGTTTGGCCATTAAAAAAGTAAAAATTGCCAAAATTAAAGAAGAAGAATTGTAGTTATGGTTTCTGACTTTTTATTTTTTTACAAATTATACCAAAATCTTTTATTTGCACAACCCACAATCTTAAACATTTAAAACTTTATCTTCTTTGTAGCAAAAGTCCCAAACATTTCAATCATATTAAATACTTACATTAAAAATTAAAAAAATAAAATAAATAAAAATAAATATATATCTTCTTCTTCACCAAACTCCTCACCCTGCACCCAACCCTAAAGTCAAAATTACGGACACTACTACACATTGTTCGACGCCACCACCACCACTTCACCGAAAATCCAACCAAATATAATTTTCTGATTAAGATTTCATTACACAATAAACATATAAAATGAGCAAATAATTTTCAAAAATAGAAGTAAATCTGAAAGTGAAAAAGAGTACAACATACATAGCCAATCACCAAAATAGAAATGTTTTCCCTGAGCCCAAATGGTGTATATTACATTTGGGTTTTCGTTTTTCGCCTTGCAATAGTAAATTTGAATGATATTGGCGCGTGGGGTAGAGTACAAATTTGTAAGTTTTGGGAAATGAAGTTGATAATTAAGCACGTAATTATTCATTAGGCAGCCAAAGTGGAAATTATTCATTCAAAGATAAAGAACACCTCAGAACAATTTTGACCTTGCCGACATTCAAATTTAAACCGACCATAGATAATGTATTTTATTCAATTTATGCACCCTAAATAACTAGTATTATATTGCACATCACCATGAAAAAACAAAAGCCAAACTAAAAATTAAAAAAAAAAAAAATTCTTGGTAATCCAAGACAGCTCATTGCTTAGTTACTAAGAAGGAAAACAACTGGTCAAATTGTTGAGTTCATTACAACAAGAGCCAACAAATAAGGAGACAGCCAATTTAGAATCCTATGTAAAGAAAAATAACGACTCTATAAACCTTCTACAATTGAGCATTACTTGTACCTAAAGAAAAACCTTAAGAAGATAACATTGTGCATCAAGATAATTCATAATTGGACCACTAAGC